ACCTCCACAGGGCCGGCTGTACGGCCATTTTCAGGGTGTATACAGAATGAAATGGAGAACCACTGAAGGCACTGAGTAAGTAATAGGAGCTGACTTGGGTTCTGAACTATAATTTTTCACCAAAATTCCACTAAATTGAGATGGTTTTGTAGGTTGTGATAAAAGTCCAAGATATGTATGATCCCTGTCTTAAGAGATGAACAGCGAAAGCAAATAGCTGTCTCCTGTTTTCAAAATGAAATCAGGGCTGGAGAAGTGACGCCACAGTTAAGAGGAGCTGGGTTCGTTTCCAGGCACCCACATCAGGCAGCTCACAACCACTGTGACTCCAGTTCCAAGGCTCCAGAACCTTCTGGTCTCTGAGACACTTGCACACGTGTAAGTGCACACACAAAAATGAATACTTCTTTCTTTAAAATTAGACATTTTAATACAAGAAACTGGAGCTGATCATACATGTAAATATAGATGCCTGCCTTAAATAAAATAATAGTACATCCGGTCTAGCAACAAATGAAGTAATATATACCATGGCCAAGTTTGCTGTCAGAAAGCAGGGTCATTTACACATTAAAATCCATCAGTGAGCTGGTTGGTGCTGGTGGGTGGCTCAGTGGACACCAGCACTCGCTGCCAGGCTGGATGGCCTGAGCTTCATCCCTGGGATGGTACGGACGTGGTGGGGGGAGAAAGCCACGGCCGTAAGTGATCCTCTGATAGCCGTGTGTGTGTGTGTGTGTGTGTGTGTGTGTGTGTGTGTAGACACTAAATAAATGAAATAAAAATTTTTAATTCATTAAAGCCTCATTGGATTTTATTCGCTATGAAAATAAAAGACTTTCACTATGATTTAATACATACTTAGAGATAAAACTTTTGCAAACTGAAAATATTTAGGAATCTTCCCATCTGGGTAGTGGTTGGAACATGCCTATAATGGCATTATCTTGGGAGGTAGAGATAGGAGGATCCAGAATTAAAGTCTCGCTTTGGCTCCATGAGACCCTGTCTCAGAAAACCAAAAGAATGGCCCTAGGATGGCATTTCCCTTGATTACGGCAAGCGGATATGCTGCTTGTGCTGGTTACTTGATAGGGTTTAGAATCACATGGAGACAGAGCTTAGGGCACGTCTGTAAGGGTTTCCCGAGTAGGTTTGTTGGGGTAGAAACACCCACCCTCACTGGGCCGTGCACTGTTCTTAGGTTGAAGTCTTGGACTGACTGGAAAGGGGAAGGGAAGCTGAGCCCCGGCGGTCATGAGCTTCCTTACTGCAGGTGTGTGTAGTGTGAGCAGTTGCCTCAGGGTGCCGCCATAGTGACCGGAAGACTGACTGGCCCTTGAAGTGATGGCGCAGCTCCAGGGAAGAGCTGCAGTGTGTTTGGGCATGGGCAGTAAGCACATTGGCTTTGGCTTTGCTTTGGTTCTGGTTGTTCATAGTCCTGGCTTCGCCCTCTTGGGATGGGGGACACACACACACCTTGCACATACTCTTACCTCGTGCTCATCCTGTTCAAGGGGTGGCGCGTGGACTACTTGTCGCTTTGCCCCAACAAAATGCACAACAGCGGCACCTTAAGGAAGGAAGGGATTGAGAGCACGTCTCACACAGTTGAAAACTGGCCTAGTGTTTACATGTCAGTGCTAGAGATCCAATCCAGGCCTTCGTATGTGCCGAGCAAGTACTTCACTACCAGGCAGCACCCCTCCCTGCCTCCAGTGAGGAAGTCACTGGCTCTCATCAGAGTAGTAAGGTCAGAGTCACACTTCAAGGACCATGTCAGGTGCTTGCTCCATCCAGCAGCACGTATTTTAAAATTGGAACGATACAGAGATGAGTGTGGTGCCCTGCACAAGAGTGACATGCCGATTTGTGAAGCATTCCATATTTTTTAAGCAAAAAAAGTAATAAGCTGCTTGTAAGAAAAGTAGAGCAGGAATGAAACTCATTTTAGAATGCTTGCCTGTCGTGTGAGGCCTTGAAATTGATCTCCACCACTGCAAAAAAAGAGAAAAGGAAGCTGGTTAAAATAAATGCTGGATGCCTGTAAGAGTTAAGTCTGCTCCCTGAGGGAGAGGTGATAACAGTACTGTGAGGTCCTGGGGAGCCTGAAGAAAGGATTCACAGGGCCTTAGAAAATGGATAGAATTCTAAGCAGAGTTCGGGTTATTCTTGCCAGCTAGATAAAGAAATTGAGGCTTCAGTTTGAGAACTAAGCCTAAGTCAACACTCTTTTCTTGTATTTGTGGAGATACGTGTAGTGAGTGCGCATGCCTGTAGAGGCCTGAGGCATGGGAGTCCCGGGACTGGAGTTGCAGGTGGTTCTGAGCCACCTGAGGTTGGTGCTGGGAACCAAACTCAGGTCCTCCGGAAGAGCAACAAGTGCTTTTAACCACAGAACATGCCATGAACAGAGCTGTAGAAGCGAGGAGGCTTATTCCTGTCTGGTCTGGGAGAGTACTACAGTGTGAGAGGAAGGAAGGGTGGCTTCATGGTGACCTGTCAAATGCAGGAGTGTCCTGGCAGTGCATGGCTGTCAGATTCTTGGTCTCCCCAAAGCCCTGCTTTCCTGGTGCATAATAAAGGTGCACACTGTGTTGTTCCTAATCCGTGGCCCATACACTTTGGCCTATTTTTATCTTTGTTTTGGTTTTTCTTTGCCTTTTCTATCTTGACCACATTGTAGTTTACCTGGCCGGAATTCTTGGGCTCCAGTGAGGTGAACGTGGAGGACTTTTGGACTACCATGGAGACCGAGGTGATTGAGCAGGTTGCATTCCCTGCCAGCATCCCCATCACCAAATTCGATGCCTCTGTTATTGCTCCCTTCTTCCCACCGCTCATGAGGGGAACTGTGGTCGTCAACACCGAGAAAGACAAAAACCTGGATGTGCAGCCAGTACCTGGTAAGACCATTTGGTTTCTGTTTGGGGTTAAGAGAGTGGCTCAGTCAGAAGTCAAGACAGAGCAGTGGTAGAGTGCCAGGCCCGGCTTGAGGATTACGTCTGAAAATACAAAGTGGTGGCTGGGCACAGTAGTGAAACCTTTAATACCCACACTCTGGAGTTAGAAACTTGCACAGAACAGTCATTTTCCTGTACCAAGTATAAGCACCTTATTTTGGTTTTTAACTTTAAAAAGCCTGGAAATGAGGTATTAATTCTGCCAGTGCTCTGTGTGATACGCTGCTTGCAAACGTTTCTTAGCATTAGACAGTGAGGAGGCTCTCCCTCACTTTGTCTCTGAGCTCTGCCCCCTTTAAGCTAGGTCAGGAGCACAGTATGTAAAGAACATTTTTTAAATGATGCTGTTGCCTGGGGCTCAGTGGTTACGAACACTTGTTGCTCTTGGAGAGGAAACCAGGTTCAGTTCCCAGCACCCACATGGTGGCTCATAATCATTGGTGACTCCAGTTCCAAGGAATCTGATGCCCTTTTCTGACCTCTATAGGCACCGGGCATGTACATGATGTACCATACGTGCATGCATGCATTCACAGATAGAATAAATTGAAAGTAATAGCTCCTGTTCCTTTTGCGTCTGAAGCATCTGTGCTCTTGGTTCTGAAAACAGAATCTGTGGGTTAAAAGGTGACCTGTTTTGGGGTTCTTGGCAATGACTCTATTTCTGTTGTCAGATGTAGGTGTTTCAAGGGCATGGCCCAGTTCTGAGAGACTTGAGACATGAGCGAAGCCCTAGGCCTGCCTACTACACCACCTCTCAGCACCCTGGGAGTGCTGTGTGTAGCGTTGACTCCCACTGCTTGCCTGCTGCTCTGCATGCCCAGCCCCCTGCTTCTCCTCCTCAAGCGTGAGGAGCTGGGGGTGAGGTGGCTGTCAGCAGCCCCTCCCATCAGCTGTGCTCTGTGTTGCAGGCAATGGCAGTGCTTTGGTGAGGCTGCTGCAGGAGGGCACCTGCAGGCTGGAGGACCTCGGCTCCTATGGTGGGGAGGAGCTGCAGGGCCTCCTGGAGCAGTGCGACATCCCCTTCGGCCCGGAAGACTCCAGGGTGAGCGCTGGGCACGGCTGGGAAGACGGGGCCTTGGGAGCGGGGAGGCTGCCCTCTTCCCTGTGCAGGTTATAAACCCCCTGGGATTGGGCACTTGTGTTGACGGAGGGTTCTAGAAGTCAGGGAACCGCCGGGCGGTGGTGGTGCACGCCTTTAATCCCAGCACTCGGGAGGCAGAGGCAGGCAGATCTCTGTGAGTTCGAGGCCAGCCTGGTCTACAGAGTGAGTTTCAGGAAAAGCGCAAAGCTACACAGAAAAACCCTGTCTCGAAAAGCCAAAAAAAAAAAAAAAAAAAAAAGGAAGTCAGGAAACCAAAGAAATAGCAGCAGCCAGATGGTGGCCTGTATGTGATCCCTGACTAGACTCAGGTTTTCCATCCTGACTCTTCTTACTCTGTATGGTGATTTAAATTGGATTGACCCCATTTACAAAATCAAAACAACTGAAACTTCACAAGGCTCTTTCTTGTAAAGAGCACTTCACCCAGAGACTGATTTTAGGCTCATAAAAAAGACTGCGGTTAACATGGACTCTACGCTGTGCATGGATTTTAGCCACACCTTACTTGCTTTCTGTGCTGTTGAAAACAGGCTTCCTTCAAATTCCGATTCAAATGGGCACTCTTTTTGAACGTCTTTCTGACAAGGCACCAGGCTGGCAGCTTCCTGTGGAGCTTCCTGAAGTTTACCTATACTAGAGGAGGGGCTGCTGAGGCTCCAGGCCAGCAGTGGATCCTTCTTTGGGTTTGGAGAGACCTTTGATATTGAGTACCTTAGCATTTGTGCCTGAATTTTCATCTTCTCCTCCTCTCCAGGATCAGCTCTGCTTCTCCTTATTGGCCCTCTACGAATCTGTACAGAATGGAGCCAGAGCTAGGCCGTCCCCAACTCATTTCACAGGGGGAAAAATCTACAAAGTGTGCCCCCATCAGGTAAGAAAGTGGCGTGGGTGGAGCATGGGGTGAGCGTGCTAATGCTGAACTGCCCACAGAGAACCTGACTGATCCCTTTGGGACTAGGACTTGCCTCACTGTGCAGCGGGAATCCTTGCCATTTGGGGGGCTGTCGAGGGAACTTGGGCCATTCAGTAATACGAATTAAACACCCTACTGCATGCTGGCCTGAGTTGCCCAGTTATACAGTAGTAAAAGACAGAGATAATGTTCTTCTTTAGTTGACCTCCCATTGCCATGGAGAAAAAAAGTTACCTCAGTTTGTGACACTAGATGTAGCTCTGGAGGAACCAAAGAACTGAGGTAGAAAGTGGGGTGGACCTGCAGTCTCCAGGCAGCCAGAGAAGACCAAGCCCTGGGGTAAAGGAAGAGCCCAGAGGAGAGCCAGAGAAGTGGCTCCCGAGACATTATTCTGAAGATGATCAGAGATCTTTAGGATGGTGTCAGTGGGAAGTGGGTGGTGAAATCACCCCCGATGTTCTGTAGAAGGGGATGGATAGGGTAGACAGAAAAAGCTACAGGCTAGGTCCTGTATGGCAGAATTGGCCTAGGGAGATACCAGAATGGAAAACCCAGTCCTGAGTGGGCATTGCCAACAGATTCAGTTCACAGTGATGTGAGAGTCAGGCTGAGCTGGTCATGAAAGGAGGGTGACGCAGCCAGTCACTGGGACAAAGCTGGGGGCGGGGCCTTTGAAGCTTACTCTCTGGCAGATCAGCACCTGCTCAGAGAGTGTCCAGATGCGCCCATCGTCGTCTTCTGAAAAGCGGGGGACAGTACAGGGACTCTACTAGGGAGCACTTCATGTAGAAGGGACAGCTGGGTGGGTGTGAAGGCAGAGTTCTCCATCCTCGCAGATCTGTCCGGCAGTGGAGGAGCTGGAGAGTGTTGGGGAAGTTCTTCCCAGCACAGCAGCGGCTGTCACCTGGGCAGCCAGTAGAGGTCTGATGGAAACCTGGGTTCAGTCCCGAGGCCCTAAGCCCTCTGTTTACATTGCCAGGACAGTAATTGTGGGGTGATAGGGATGGAGTAGGCTTTAGAGATGTCCTAAGTCCTAGCTGTTCTCCGACAAGGATGTGCTGGTGACTCCTTTAGGGGTAGAAGCAGGAGGGAGGACCAGCACGGTGACTCGGTAGCTAGAGGTGCTTGCCAGGCAAATCCAGCACCAGGTTCTCCCCGAATCCACCGTGGAAGGAGAGAACCAACTCGTGAAGAGTCTCACTGACCGCCTGTGTGCTGTGGATGCACAGGCCTGCGTACACAATGATAATCCTTTTT